GAGACAAGATACCCCAACCAGGCTAGTAACTTTTGGTTGACCACAAAAGAGACTATGCGATGTTGGTGTTTAAATTGTTAAAAGATGAGTCTTTTTCATTAAGTGCCACAAAGCTGTACTCGATTAATTAAGGATTTAGTGCTTCATGTAGATCGATATCCACTAATTTTCTTTTGACGTATGCGTGCTGTCGAACTGTCACGGGGTATTTAGTGGTTTGCAATATGAAAAATGTTAGACTGATCAGTCTATAGAATTCGGTGCATAGTAATTCTCTCCGTCAGTCTTCAAGACAAAAATGATTTAATTCACCTCAGCCTCATGCCACTTAAATGGGGTGTATGGATCTATTAATCATTTCCCGGAACGGGCCAGATCAGTAGAATATGTCATAAAGCCTCCAACAACCAACTTGTCAGATTTGGGCTCATATGTTCCTCAATAAAACACACTGAAAAGATGAAAATAAGTATTCTACACTTGTAGAAAGCATCTATAGGGTCACTCTGAAGCGTCCAACAGGAATCTGCTGTAATTGGGACGCTGCATTTTCATTGGTAGATCAGCCATAAACCATCATATGTCTGGTCCCACAAAAACACCTTCCTTTAATTTTGCTGCTAGAAGTTTAAATATTAAGTGTTTGTATGACATTTTTTTAGGAATCTATGAAAATACGCCTCTGATCCGACTCTTCCATGTTGGTACAATAAACTAATGAACAATGCGAAATGCCAACTGCTTCTCACCACAGCTATATCTGAAGAAATATACTCTTGACAAATAAAAGTTCTTGCTTTGATTCAAACAACTCAGATGCGTTTTAGAAAATTTTCAAGTATTTTTCAAAATCACTTAGCACAAATTCAAAACTTGATTTGTCATGGACTTCTCTTCTCTCATAAAATCAAAATGCACAAGGTTTTCTGGTTTGCCAAATCGAGATTCAAATGAAACTCAAGCAAGCAGGGCCGTGCGCAAGGGGTTTTGGGGGTTCAAACAACCCCCATAATCGAATTTAAATTAAAAATATGATTCTCTTTTACATCAAAGGCGATTACTCGAAGAAAGACGAATTTTCGTTTCTTATGAGTTGAATACAACAATAGGCCTATTCTGTCGAGGTAACAAAATTTACTTTGGTATTAAAATTTAGCATTTAGTAATTTTTTTCAATATTTCGTATTCTGAGCTCACTGTTAATTTAAGAAAAAAAATAAAAACCAAAATGGTTAGGCACATTTTAGGCCTGGAATTCATTGAAGTTGAAGAAAAAAGTGCAAAAAGCTGTATTTTATGAAGTTTTCGAGACAAAAAATAGCGCTTTAATTTGTAAGATAACGTTTTCATTCAGCTTTCTTTTGTTGTCCAGTTATATTTTCCATAATTAGATGCCAATATTTATGATTTAATAAACAAATTAATAAAACTTTTTAATTTTTTTGTGCACCGTCTTCCATTTTGATATGAATATTTTTCTTGCTTTATCAACTAGAAAATGTAATTTGACATGGACGAAAAAAACAGTGCTGCCAAAGTCTTTTCAGACATTATAAGCAGTTCGCCAGAATATCAAATTCAATTTCGGGTGTTAAAAAAAGTAACAAAATTTACTTTACCGGTAACAGTGAGAATTTAGTTAGTGATTTAAATAAAATATGGGTCTGTTTTCAAATTTTCTTCAAGCCTCCGGCTTGCAGTAGGTACTATTGAATGATTTTTTTCTAGGGCTAATGAATCTTGCTGATATACGTGTATGTTTAGTGGCATTAAGCCACATGTCATACGGGCAGGCGCAGCAGCAAATTTCCTAGTGATATGTTTTGAGATGTTCTTGCGTGATTTGTGCCTTTAGTATCGTTGTTGATTACACTTTCCGTCAACATGTTTTTCCTGACATGCCTAATATTGCATTTGTTGTTAAGTTTCTGTATCGTATAATTTCGTTTCTTATGTAAGAGACCAAGACTCGAGAATGACGGTGTAAGTATATAAAAAACGATGAATCATTTCTGCAATGCCACTTTGGCATTGTTAAAAAACGATATTTGTTCATGAAAAATTGCATAGTATGCCAATATGCGACGTGCAAATGTTTTACCTCTATACAAATGTTTTCAACACACTGTAATATGTCCTCATACGACCTTATCTAAATTGAGCTTGAGAACATAGGATCTTATATTTTCGCTAGCATCAGACTTAACCGTAACATGACTTTAAAGAAAGCAACTTTCGGGCTCTCCATTGCATAGCTAATACAAGCGAAAACATCCACAATTAATTTTTGGTATATTACAAACGAAAAATTTTATAAGGTCAAGTAAAAAGTTCGTTCGGGTTTTTTTTATTGATATTTTAAAATATGACAACTTTGTGTACATTTGTCCGATTTAAGTTAAATATGCGCTGTTTTGTTCGTAAACTTGTTGCCTCCCCTCGGAGAAGGCTGCACCCCTATTGGCAAAAAACTCGGGAGCCAATTTTAACAGTCCTTTCTTCAGGCCAACTTCTCACCATTGAGCGCGTTCGCCATAGAGAGGAAAAGATGGTAATCACTTGGTGCCAAGTCCGGACTATGAGGTAGATGCATTAGGTGACCTTTCATCCGAGCTCCGGGAGCTTCTGGCGTGTCACCAAAGACGTGTGTGGCCTGGCGTTGTCCTTCTGGATGAGTGCTGTCTTCAAGCGGTACAGTTGTTGGCAGTAGGGGGCCGAATTGAGTGTATGGTGCATCTTTAACATCGAAATTACCGGAACGGAACCATTTTTGTGCTACACGTTCGTTTACAGTATCGGGCCAATAAACTAAATTAATTTTTTCAGCCGCTTTGGCTGCTTTTTGGCCTTGATCGAAGAAACATTGTTTACTTGCCTCAAATAGTGTTCGTCATTTTAGATCCGCCCTTTTTAATTTCGAAATTTTTAACACCAAATTCGAAATCAGCAAGCCCAAAAACCTGTATATACATGAAGTTCTTCCAAAGTTAAGTGAATTTCTGAGTTCGAGCGGCTTTTTTGCTGAAAGCATAGTTGCGTGCGGACATTATAACTTTGAACCACTGTAAATTGCGATATAGTGCTCAGATTGGCTTGAAATTTTAAAACAAAACTCTCGACACTAAATACTTCTAGAATATAAACCAAATTAGGTATATAACCCCTTGAAATATGTCACAGAAAAAGCAAGATGAGATTATGCGCTTCGATAACTATGTATTTTTCTCATCATTATCAATTTAGTTGAACGATCGTCGTGAAGCTGCAGTCTACGTCGAATTCTACAGTACCCATTCATAAATATGGCTACGGATCTTTTGTCAATAAATTAACTGCTGATGGCATAGACTCAACTATGTTGGGCTACAAGATCTGGATTCCTTGCGATACCTTCAAGATTCCTTCATCCAGAGCACGAAAATTAAAATTGCAAAGATCTAGGTAGCAGAGATACACCTGGTTAGCTTATTCAGGCATAGATGATGGGGCCTTCTGTAAATGCTGCTTGCTTTTTTCTGTAAAAGAAGGAGGAGTTGGAAATCAAGCATTTGGCCAGTTAGTATTGAAACCTTTCAAAAATTGGTATATCAGAATTTTTTGCTGCTCATGAACTTAATTTTACGCTTCAGAGTATGAAGTTTCAGACAAGTTAGAGAACATTTAAATTTATGTATGGGTAAATCTGTTTAACCAAATATTTGTATCTCAGCGAGAATGTTATGAAAATATCAAGTGAACAATTTTGCTTCCGCCGTTTTTTTCCAAAATTAAAAGCTCTATTGCGAAAAAGTGCTTACAGATATATAATATTATTCAAAGTATTGTCCTTCGCTAGCGACAACTTCCCCGGCTCGAAAAAAGGAGTCCTCTTTTGACGCTATCCATGAAGCAATCCATTTTTCCAACTCTTCGAAGCATTGAAAATGTTGATCAGCCAGGCCGTGTGCCATCGAACGGAATAGGTGGAAGTCAGAAGGGGTGACATCTGGGGAATACGGCGGGTGGGGCAAGACTTCCCATTTCAGCGTTTCCAGGTACTTTTTGACCACTTTTGCTCGATGTTCCTCGGTTTCAACTCGTACGGCACCCAATTTCCTTCTTTCTGAATCATGCCCAGGGCTTTGAGACGTTTTGAAATGGCTCGCTGACTCACTCCTTACGATTCGGCAAACTGTTCCTGGGTTTGGCACGAATCTTCATCAAGCAATGCTTCTAGTTGTTCATCTTTGAAGGTTTTTTCTCTTCCACCACCATGTTTGTCTTCGACATCGAAATCACCATTTTTAAAACGTTGAAACCACTCCCGACATGTTCTTTCACTCAGAGCAGCATCACCGTGGGTTTCTGAGAGCATTCGATGCGCTTCAGCTGCATTTTTTTTTTTTCGAATTGTAACAGAAAAGTAAAACTTCCCGCAAATGGCGAGATTTAGGCACATAAACGAACATTTCCGAGAGTGAATAATACGAAAACAAGAACAACTGTGACTGAAACGGTGATTTCAATTCGTTAGACACTGTCCACAATCACTTTAAAAGCATTATCATCTATGTATTTCCACCAGCCTCAACCGGTACAGCCACCTATCGGAAAACGGCGGAAGCAAAGTTGTAAACCTGATAATTAAATGGAAAGCAGATCCATATCTCCATACCACTTATGGAGAAAATTTTTTGGAACCCCCCGCCCCCAAAAATTAATTCAAGCAAAAAATAAATAAACTAACAATAACGAAGAGTCATGCCAAAGTCTTTATGCATACCTTTCATGACCATATCAAAATATCAAAAACATATCTGAACTTATGGAATAGCTCTTACCCCGAGGTTATAAATTCGTTTATTATAGGCTTGTTCCAAGAACGCACTATCGCTCAATATTTTGGATTCATATAATAAAAACACGAATAGTATTTCAAAAAATTATCAAAATTGCGTATTTATTTATATTTAGCTATTAAAAGTTTTCCTAAATACATACATCATAATACATAGCTAAATTATTTTAAATACATTAAATTTATTTACATACATACACATATTTTATAGTAAAACTCGTTTCAATATAGCCCATAATAATGAAATGAATAGGCCACAGAACACAACTTGCACGAAGTAATGTAAGATTTTAAACCTGTGCAAAATATAAATAAATAATTAATTGCGAAAAAAAAATATTTTGTAGAAAAAATTATTATGGAAAACAGAAAAAAAATTAATTGAGTGAAATTCATTAATTGTCTCAAAACAACCCACCTTCTATGCATTATCTGCGCTCTGGGCAGAGTGTCGGGTCCCTCTCTACCCAAATATAAACGCATACCCCATAAGGAGTATTGTAGATATTCCTTCCAATTAATCAAACGAAGATCAAAGTTGAAAATTTCTTTATCTTTCGCAGACAAAGAGTTCCACAAAGCCTTTGTATTGTCCATGGTAAATTTAAATTCAGTAATTATGAAATATTCCATCGCACCAGTTTGCCGGTGTATACTGCGATAAAGTTTTGTCAATCTATAAAAATAAGACAATTTATTATTTTATAAAATGTTTAATAAAATATTTTTATATTGGCTGGCCCCAACAGAAACCAGCGATTTTTCATACAGACAGCGTTAACAATTTTTTTGAACATTTTGTGACTATTTAATTGTAGTTTTACTTTTGACAGTTATAAACTGTCACTTTTAGCTTGCTTTAAAGAATAAAATGCAGCGCAGCCTGGTAAAAATTTGCATAATTTGTATGATGATAAGGCCTTAAAAGAAATAGAGTGTCGAAGTTGGTTTGTCAAATTCCGTTCTGGAGATGAGCCACGTTCAGGTCGGCCAAGTGAAGTTGATGATGACGATATCAAGGCTTTAATCGAATAGGATCGTCATGTAACAGAAGAAGTGGTATACTTACCAAAATCAACCGTTCATAATCATATATGACTACTTGGACTGGTAAAAATAGCGTGATATTTGGGTATCAAATACATTCGTTTAACAAACCGCTTCAACGCTTGTGAAATGCATCTGAAAAGCAATGAATATGATCCGTTTTTCAAGCAAACTTCAATCAAAAACGATCATGGTCCAAGCATGATGAAGCGCCACAGACCACTTCAAAGGCTGATATTCACCAAAAGAAGATTATGCTATCAGTTTGGTGGAATTGGATACGTGTGGCATATTGTGAGCTGCTTCCAAGGAAGCAAAACAAAAAGGGAACAAATTGAATGTATCCTTCAACGAGACGCGGTCAGAATTGATCAGTCGTAAAGGTGTCATATTCCAAGGCAATGTTAGAGCGCACACATCTTCGATCACTCGCCAAAAACTAAGAAAGCTTGCTTGAGAACTGTTGATGCATTCACCATATATCCCCGACCTGGCACCGTCAGACTACCTTTGCAGGGAACTCATTAAATTGTAAAACTTTCGCATTTGGCTCAACTTTTTGCCGATGAGTTGCAGAAGTTCGATGAGCATGAAATAATGATGTTATCGAAAGGAGAGCTAAAGGTCATCCAACAAAATGGAAATTACATAATTGATTAAATGCATTATGAAATTTAAAAAGAAGTATTTACTTTCTTTCGAAAAATTGCCGGTTCTTTCGGTGGAAACCAATATATTGTATTAGTTCGGAACGAAAGGTAATAAATTAAAATAAGTAAAATGCAACCTCGAAATAAAAATTCGAATTGGAACAAGTAAATATTCGTTATAACGAGTAATTCAATGCACTGTTGTAATATTGAGGTTACGTTACATTATACAGAGGTTTCGTTTTTTTTTTTTTTTTTGAAACTTTTTGGTCACGTCCCAATTCTACTGCAAACTGCTGGGCCTTTTCTTGAAGGACGAACTCTCTGATTGTGACCTTTTATATCGTTATTGTTCTAACTAAAATTTTTTCAACATAATTATTGATGTTTTGCTTTTCTGCGACCGTTAAGGAACACCTTTTACGTTTCCATGCCAACGTGCTCTTGCAATACTTTCCATCAAACAGCAATGATGGATTTAGGAACCAAAGTGCGTTGAAATCTGGTACTACATATGTGATTAAGAGCCATTCGAGTATATTGGTGGGAACTTTATGTCAAGGTTTTAAATTCACAAAATTCGTTAACTAGAGATATTTATACTTGATAGTTGAAAATTTGTAATAAAACGGTTGTTTGCAAAAAAATATTCTCAATTTTAGGTTATATTTTGCTTTGTCTTTTATGAATAATTCAAGGAAATTACAAAGAATTTGTTAAATCGAGGAAAGCCTTATATTGAGGTACGTTGTACTATATTAAGGTTGCACTGTATTTTCACATCAATGGTACAAGTTTTCTATTAATTAGTTTTTGTTTTAGTAACAAATTCTGTACTTGTCTGGTGCTTCAAGAGGAGAGGTTTGTTTGCTTTGCAGCTGCCTTATAAATATAAGTAAAAAAAAATAAAAAAAAAACATAAAATAAATGTAGTCGAGTTTTTGGCAGTGCTTGCTATTCTGCGTGATGATCGTAGGCTCGAATCCTAGACAGACAGCAGGTCGGCGACGCCTAATAGGATACAAAAGGCTGAATAAACGCGCATTGCCTATTCTTTGCTCCAATTTCCATGTCGTTTTGTTTAAAATTTTTCAAAGAATTGGACATTATAAAAATTTGTGTAATTACTTTACCAGATATGGACACCCTGCAGTCGGAAACTAAAATTTCTTACACATCATCTTATTGATAAAGAAATACAATTATTAAATATTTCCCAAACCAATTCGTGTTGCTTTCTCAATGCAGGTACATACAAAATATCACAAAATTCAAAGTCCTTACCGTGTGATATTTATAGTAACTTTAATTTAGCAATCAAGCAGTCAATAAATAAGAACGTTTATCTCTTAAAAACTTTATGAAAACTATAATAATTTATTTCTTGTCGACTAACTTCTTCTTTTGAATGTTAAAAATTTTTCTGAATTAAAATTTTAGGTAAAAAACGAATTTGTTGTGCTTATGAATAATATGGAAACCATTTTGATTTCTCAGACTTAATTAAAAAAAATCATATTTTATTTTACTTTATATATTTTAGTATGTGCTAAGCTTGAATATGGAACTGACAGAGTTAAATAACATTTCAAAATATCGTTAAATTATTAACTCTTGAATCTCACTTGGTTAGTTGATATTGAATTTCTTTGGTTAGTAGTGGGCTCATTCTTATTGCAACAGGATGATCCAATCAAGATACACTAAACGAAATTCAACATTTTTGAACTCATTACTAAGAAAATTTTAAAGCATTTTCCAAACAATCTTAATATACATATAAAAAAAACCCGTGTCTGTTCCGAAATAACTCAACATCGAGTCAATCGATATTCATGAGAGTTGACATACACGTACAGGCCCAAAGGGGGGGGGGGGGTGTGTGTGTGGTATTCGTGGACTTTTCCCCCCGGGCCCGTAGATTGCAAGGGGGCCCGGTGTTTTCATTATCGTATATAGAATAATTTGCTTCTAGAATATCTATGACTTAACTGACTACAGATTTTAATGGATTGCGATACTAATTCTACGCGTCTGAAAAAAATCAGTAATTTTGTTACTTCACTTATGATGTTCGTGACGCATGTTCTTATCTTACAGTCATTGCAGTAAGATTTAGTTTTGTATGAGAAAGATCAATTTTTCAGGCTATAATCTGTGAAAAGTCTTACATAGAGCTATAACATGCGGAAAAAAATGAAGTTAATTGTCTGTCTAAAATTAGCTAGAAAACTTGACTTCGGTATTATCATTGAGGAATTTGCATCAGCTAAAGAAACAAAGGCATATTTTTGAGGGTTGCTACGTATTAAAATACTATTATGATGCAAACTAAGGTAATAAAATTGTTTAAACAAAAATTGTTCCAGATTACTCATTAACTTTCATTTTTATTCAAGTTCTATTCTATCTTAATCGCCAACTCGTTCATTTGCAGTGTAAGTACATATAAACATATTTGTTAGATCATGAAATTAAGGTGCTGAGGGCCCGCATTTGAATTATCTCGGCGGCCCTGTACTCGTATATATGTGTTTTGGTCAGACTAAGATGATTGGATAGTTATTATTTAAATTAATGGTCTCAAGCTACCATTAAATATTCATAACAATCCAAATGCAACGTGTAATATCAAAGAAGAACAAGCGTAATGGTAGCAGTGTTACGAAAGACTTCGGTAAAAATTTGGGATGAGTGTACTATGGCACATAAGCATTCACTTGAAGCATCAAATAGGACTATGCAGGATTTAGAGAATGGTGACAGATATTTCGGTGGTACTATTTTACTACTATCTGGTGAGTTCCTACAAACGTTATCAGTTATTCCCCGCTCTCCTTTTGCAGTTCAAAATGCATGTTTAAAACAATCAATTTTATGGCGAAATGTTGAAACACTCAGCCTGCTAAAAAATATGCGAGTACAACTCCCAAATGCATAAGAGTTTTCTGAGCAATTACTGGATCTTGGAAATGGTGAATAACATATTAGATTTCAAACTAAAACTGAACTGATTGAAAGTGTCTTCCCAGACATAATGAATAACTATTTAAATCATGACTGACAAAGTAATCGTGTAATTGTGGCAGCGAAAATTTTTGATGTTGATCTGGTCACATATGTATACATATATCTACAACAATAAATTATCTGGCGATTCAATGACATTTTAGTCCATCGCTGACAGTTTTCGATTGAAAATTGGATCATCTATTATTCTACTGCGATATTTAAACCCGCCTTAACTATGCAACGGGGCAAGTCTGGTGATCAAAAGAATCACTGAAAACGTTCTTGAAGCAACTATTTTAACACGAATTCTCCTCTCCACGATTCTCCCATACCATTTCAAAAGCTACAGTTTCCCATTAGTTTAGCTTTCGCGAAGTCTATAAATAAATCACAAGGCCAAACAAAGTCTATTTACGGCTTAAACTTGGAAAACCCATGTTTCTCCCATTGGCAATTATACGTAGTGCTCACGAGTAGAAATACCAAAAAGTTTATTTATATTAAAAAAGATCCGATATATTAAAAATATTGTACGTCGTTTGGTGCTCCATTGAATATAAACTGTGATTTATTACAAATATTACGATATTATATAATTGGCGCTTTGGAACCGCTGAAGTGATTTTTCGGCCGAGCTTCTCCTCCAATTTGCGGTTTTTGCGTCTTGATGTTTTTCCAACAAATGGTGGGACCTACAGTTTATACTAAGCTACCTCCGAACGGCCGACGGTGTTTTTGTAAGGAGCCTTTATTTCTGGCATGAAAAATCCACTCGGAAGGGTTGACATTCCGTGCCGAAGGTCGACCGCAATTAAAAAATTTAACTTGATGTTTTATTTCAATTAATTTTCCATTACTTTTGGATGTTGGTGGCACTGGGATATCAACCCGTGCCTTGCGAATGTCAGTACGCAATGCTAACTACTCGGCGACCGCGGTAGCAATACTTACGATATTTAGAGCATATATATCAAATAAAAATAATTAAAGTATTTATCAAATGAATGTTATAAAAAGTGTAATGTTGATTTGGTTAAATATTGTCTCTCAAATTCTTCTTAAATCACTCAGCCACCAAAACATGTGGTCGGATCTATGCATTTTAGCATATTTTGGGCCCAAGGAAGATAGGTTTTGCAACATTTTGGTAAGGACTCGGCAGATAGGTTTAGAAACATTCGCTTTACTAAAGATCATACCTTATGGGGCTGAGGTATTTTATTGCTCTGCGATTAGTAAAAAAAAGTTATGATCCAAGTAAAATTATAAAACCGAAAAAACCGATTTCTTTATAAGAAGTTTAAATGGTTTACAATTTTTAATTTACGAAAGGCTCAAGAAAAATATTCACAAGGTATTAATTGCAATAAATAGGTTCATAGAGTTGCCAACTGCCTTTTTTTACAGACATTTTGTGCAGTCGATTTTATCACGGTAAAGCCTATTTGCTTACATAATACGTGCAAACGAGAAAAAATGATAAAAAATGTTCTGCCCGCGCGGTACCATCGAATTTAAGTGACGCATACTAAAAATGGGCGGGGTAGCTGGGTAAAAAATCGCTTCAGCGGTTGAAATCTTATCCACATATACATATTTCTATGCTTACATTCCAATTGTAATTACACCACAATGTGTATGATTGTATGATTGCCAACTCACCTCTTTTTCTTGCCCTTCAACACCAATACGAAATCGATCAAATAGCCGGGTATGGTATGATAGAAGAAAGTCAGTACATAATACAACCATTTCTGGCCGACGGTTATCAAAAATGGAAACCAGAGCATTTTCGTTAAGGCCACCTGATCGCCGAAATCGGCAATGGCAGTCATATATTGCTTCCAATTCAGCGGATTCTCATCATCGTTGGCATAGTTGTAAATTGGTGGAGCCATATCTAACCTAGAAGAGTTTACATATTATATACATAGGTATATGTGTTTATATGCAGATATTGTACATAAGTTGATAGGAAATTCAAAATTAAATTTGTATAAGATTTATAAACATACTTTTGCCTCTGAGTCGAGTTGGCTGTCTCCCAACCAATGGCCAACATTAAACTAGCACAGCAATCTGCCGGCACGAGATGTGCCCGATGATGGGACTTCATCATCATGACGCGTAGTACACCACAACCGACAGCGTATAAAGCCGCTGAGGGACCATAATAATTACCGATCCAACCGGAGAGTGGCTCATTGTAAGTCTGAATAACTGAAATTATCCATACGCATATGAGTAAATGTGTATTTTAGCAACATTTTCTATGTGGAAAGCACTCAAGTTTCAGAGAATTAAAGCTACAAACCTATAGCCGGACGAAATATGCTTATGGGAAGTGAGCGTCCCTCACTCAAAACAGCCTCCTCCGCCAGAGATTTGGTGTATGTATATGTATTTGGATAAGCCTCGCACAGCACGTTCGCCAGTTTATTTGTGGTCTCGACACCTAAAGTTTGACTCAATTCACACATCTTCACCGAACTAATACCCAATTTATGTGTGTAGTATTTCTCATCAATTGATTGCATAATACAATTGGCGAATGCCGATGAAACATGTACAAAAGCCTAAATTTAAAGTAAAAATAAAATTGATTTTAATTAAAAAAAAAAATTGTGTTTATGGTTTACCTGCAAATTTTTCATTTCCTTGGCTAAATGTATCAAGTCCAGTGTGGCACGTACATTTATAGCCACAGCTTTGTGGAGCGGCTCATGAAAACGTACAGTTGCTGCCAGATGAACTACAACGTTTACGTCTTTAATCAGTAATTTACGATCATCTTCCGAGATTCCCAGATTGACTAAGTTGCAATCGCCTGAAATTGGTTGAATTCGGTCCATTGGCGTAACACCTGAATTTCGCAACTTATCAAAGAGCTGGTAGGATAGGAAATGGAAATCGAAGATTTTAAATATTATTTTTGGCTGAATATTTGGCATGATACTACTTACCGCATTTTGACAGAGACTCGATAGGCGATCTTCAATACTTTTACCACCTTTCGGTCGTAAGAGTATGTAAATTCGTTTAACTTCAGTAACTCGCAGCAATTTTTCAATATAAACTAAATGAAAAAAATTTGAATTTGAGAAACATGCATTAAATATTTAAATTTTTATGTATATTATTCATATATACATCTTTGTCTTTTACTATCTTCTCTACATAATCGCCTATGATCTTATGGCATTTCTTAAGTGCTTAGATCCGCTTCTGAAAACAGTCTTCAAAATTTTGTTTTTTATGCTTAACATTAACTGCATTAATTATCTCCTCGCTGCTATTAAAGATATTTACTTTTAAATTTTTTTAACTTTTGAAAATAACCGGGGAATGTAGTGCTGAACGTATTCCTTCGATCCCAGAGATTATAATGAATTTGCGCCCAGCATATCCTCTTTCTTCCTGTTTCCCAACAAATTTTTGAAAACTTTTGGTAAGCACTCTTCGGTGTGGCATGTTGCAGTTACCGTCCGACCCTTTTCCAGTGAAATAGCAGCTACGATTTTAGATCGGGTGAAGTAAACTGACATCATTACTTTGCTGCTGATTTTTGTTCCTTAGATTTTAATGGTCGGTTTGCTCCTGTTGGGCTTTATACCATGGACTGCTGTTTGGCTTCCGGATCGTAACCAAGATTCGCCCAGTTACGACTTTACTAAATTTGCTAGACTGACCATTTTGGAATTTGTTTAGGATATAGAGCAAAATGTACTCGAGCCTCTTTTTGGGTCTCATTTAAAACTCTTGGTTTTACGCTGTCGCACGTCTAATGCCCACAACATTCGATATTGCATGGCATGAGCCAATTGATATGATGTGCTAATATCCTCTGCAACTTCCTTGAACGATCATCGTAATCAACAGCTTCACGGCCTTCTGTAAGGCGGACCAGACCAGAAAGTTTCCGGAAATTGTTTTTTTTTTTCGATATTCGCGGTTTGGTTCAACATGAATTCGTTCCAAGGAGACAGGCGGCCAAGGGTATTATTTGAACGTTTTGAGGCGTTTGCGCGAAAACATCCGTCGTAAATGGCCGCACTTGCGGGTCAACCATTTTTTTTGACTATAACGCGCCCTGGCACCGAGCTGTAGTTGTGTACGATTTTAGGGCCAAAAACTCGTTCAATACCATCGATCAACTACCGTATTCACTGGAATTGGCCCCTTAAGACTTTTTTTTGCTTCCAAAACTCCACTCCGTGAAACTCGTTTCGACTCAATTGAAGCCGGAAAAGAAAATTCGCAGAGGGAACGCTCATTGTTGGCATAGTAATTAAGGACAGTGCTACCAATTTTAACAAAAAAAGAGCTTAAGTGGCAATTTCCGGCGACTTCCTGGTCTTAATGTATAAACACGTTTCCGACTCAGAATAGGCTTGCCGAATGCCAAAGTCTATATTGGACCACTGCGAGCAAAATTTAATACAAATTCTTTCATTTTTTAAAAAGTCCTCATCTTTTATATACGAATATTTGTATTAATTAAAAGCCCTTCAAAATTATAATTAGTCGAATTATGCTTTCATAAAAGCAATGTCTAGCTATAGTTGAGGCTGCAGCATCAAAAGTTTTCTTCAGGTTTTTATGTACTTAATGACAGAGATATGCTAATCTTAGTGAACCTTATCTCAGCTTTTCGAAAACTTTTGATTTAAGAAGACAATCCGAATGGTTTCAAGAGGCGCAAACTCTCGAATGCTCTCAAATAGAAATCGGTAACCGAAGCTACAAGAGCGAGGAAGCAAATATACATATTTGGTAAGCATCTTAACACAATTCAAGTTAGACAGAGCCCCATTAAATTGTGTACTCTAGTTTTTTCTCAGCCGAAATAAACTCTGAGAGATTGACATTTCCTGGCACTCAAAATTAAAAAAAAAAAAACTAAGTCTAAAATTATGGTTGTGGGTCTGTACATTATTTGCACACAAAAACCATCTTTTGCTCTATGGTACCAAGCAGTTGTGTCGATTGTTGTAAAAAGTAAGAAAATGTCAGAGGTGATCTCATCCTTTTCCAATATTAGTGTAGCTGAGTTATGGAAGAGGAAAAAATGAACATTTGACTTTTGCTGTTTTTTTTTTCGTTAAATTTGGAATTTTGTTCGAGCATTCCTATGGAGAGCTGTCTGATTTAAGGATTCTCCAAAGTTTTGCGCTATTGAAGACCATAACGCATTCGCTAAACCCTCTTTGGAATCTTATCAACAACGTACTTCAAATATACATACATATCTATTATTGAAAACAATTTATATTTTTTTTTATGTTGCTGAATGCCAATTAAACCATTTCTCTTCATTATTCTATTATTGCACTCAAATATACATATGGTTGAGTGTCCTTTAAAAATGTTAATAGAAAAATCGCATTGACTTTGCGCGAGTATAAATAAATAAATAAAAAATAAAATTGTTTTGTGTTGTAATGAAATTCCAAAGGGGAAATCAGTGCTACATATGTTAGTGCTCTTATGCAAAAAAAATGCAAGGTCTTGGCAAATTTCTATGCGCATAATTAAAAAATTAATTTGTTTTGCAGTTTTATGCAAGTCTTGAACCCAGCCATGAAAAGTAAGAAAATAATGGAAGTATAAAATTCGAATGCTTCGAACAAAGTTCGACTACATTTGACGAATGAAATCAGACATGAGGTGTATTCAAAAACCAATAAAGATTTGTAGTAAAATGTTTAAGATAACGAACGTCCTGGACGTCCCATCACATCAATCTTAAACAGATGAAAACCTGGAAAAAGTGCAATAAAAATGCCTGTGAATCATCGCCGAATCATAATAAGAAAAGCTGCTGATAATGTTGGCATACCGATTGGATCGTGCCATGGCGTTTCTACTAATGTTTTAAGTATGAATCGAATGGTAGTAAAATTTGCTCCAAAATCATTTGAATTTTGAACAAATTCAACGATTAATGAAACGTATTATATGAGGTGGCGAATGGTGAAACAATCCGAAAAAACACCAAAATTTATGGAAAACAGTTGGTGGCCTTTGTGTCATGATAACGGACCTGTTAACTCTTCTTTGGTTATTCGTTAGCCATACGACCGAATGACCATTTCCTGGTTCCTAAATAAGAAAAATCTTAAAGACTGTAAATGCCTCCCTTCTTTTGTAGCGTGGAAAATCGGTATATCGCAAATAAAAAAAGAAGTTGAGACGAACTGAGCCAGTTATCTATAAATCAGTCCAAATTTCTTGCTTCTCTTCTTTAGGTGCATAATAAAATTCCACCACAAATAATACCGATATTTATAGGGTTTTCCAATAAGAGGTGTAAATGTAAATAGCCTGGTGTTCTGGTAGATGTCTCTTTTCAAACTGTATTTTTTTTTTTGAAATTTGACAAATAAAAACTACGCCAGAAATAAAAATAGAAAGAAACACGTTTCAATAATGCAAAGAAATTATTAAAATTCAATATAAAAAAATCTTCGAAAAATCATCTTGACTGATGAGGACCATTTCCACCTCGATGGCTACGTCAATACGCAAAACTGCCGCAACTGAGGCTCCGAAAACCAAGATTGGTTTTTTGAAAAGCCTCTCCATCCTCAACATTTAACTATTTTGTGCGGTTTACGGTCCGGCGGTGTCAATGGACCATACATTTTTGAAAATGGGCCTATAGCAATCTTCGGTGAATGAATTGCGCTATCAATGTAATGACTTTCTATGGCCGGAATTTGATGATAATGATCTCAATAACGTTTACTTTCAACAAGAGCGCACTACGTGCCACACAAGCAATGAAACCAGCGTTCTTCTAAGTCAAAAGTTTCCGGACTGTTTTATAACTCGAAGAGGTGATCGCAATTAGCCACAGAGATCTTGTGAATTAACATCTTGCGACTTTTTTTTTGGGACAACGTAAAAGGTAAGACCTACGCCAATAGGCTACGGTCGATTCAAGAATAAATAGATGAAATTCGTTAAGCTTCTGAGGACATAAATTTGCGATGTGGTCATGGGAAATTTCACCAGAAAGATACGGTTCTGTAAGCGTAGCCGCGACGGTCATTTGGCAGGTATTGGATTCCATTATTAATGGCATATCTTCCTCTTTTCATTGAAATAAACATCCGGTCATTTATCTCAAAAAATGCAAGTTTTCTTTGAATACCAAAATAAAACCTCTTAGTTGAAAACCCTGTGTATAAAATCCCTAACGAAATCCTGACAAAGCATGCGAGAAAAACAATTACCACAAAACATTTGAACAAAATATAAACAAATTTAAAAACCGCGCGATTTTATGTTTTTTCTGGATTCAATATCTTGATTGCATTTCACTAAAAAATTATGCATAAAAAATACTTAAAAGCGTAGTGTAATGTGTTGACCAAGGGTGCATCGTGACTATAATTTTCCCGCTAATCAAACAATTTCAATCGTTTGGCCTAAAAGATTTGGAGATTTTATCATCAAAGCAGTTGTCAAAATTTAAATTTATTTCATGTTTACCCGAAACGAACAGCTGTCGTTAATGTTAAAGCGTTAACAGATAATGTTAACCGTAAACAGCTAATGTTAAATCGTTAACAGATAATGTTAAACGTGAACAGCTAATGTTAAACGTGAACAGCTAATGTTAAATCGTTAACAGATAATGTTAACCGTGAACAGCTAATGTTAAATCGTTAAAATTGAAGTGCTGTTAATATCATAACAAATAGCATCGTTTAAAATTCACATTAACCATGAGTTAAACAATTTCATTTCGTTGCAATAACTAGACGCCGAAACGAAGCGATATTATTTCACAAAGTTTAGTTTTCATAATAACAAAAGCAAATGACATCGCTTCGTTAGTTGAGATTCTTTAGTGTTAGCGGGTCTTTCTGTTTGATTAGATATTTTAGTATAGTAATTTTTTAACTCATATAACTTATTTGATTTTGTCGGAATAAAAAGTTATCTTGTCTGTGTTAAGTTTGATCGGGATTTTTAGAGATTGTCGGGCTCGTGCACTGTCTGGATTATGAAGGTGGGGCTTATGGAGCGCTTTCAGCATACATAATTTATTTGGCCTTTTGCAATTTTCAATGATTTGCACAATTAATTATTGTCCTTATAAAATCAAAGGAAAGATTTGAGGACTTGTAAAATATTGATACAGTTTTTCGTTTTTACAGAACAAGTTTTTTTTGAAATTCACAGGCGTAATGCTATTTTGACTTCACATCTACATAATTCTTCTTGAGTTTATAACTTGCACTTTTTACTCTTTCATCATTTTTTTAATACATGTATGTGTTTTTGTTTTTGTTTTATATGCACTCATAAATATCAATATCTGAATAATCAAATATTAAGCATCCTTTTCGTACCTATTCCCATAAACCCGGTGCCTCCAGTTACAAAGACTGTTTTGTTACGATAGAAACTTGTTATATCGGACGACATTTTGCACGTACACTTAATTTTTTAAGTTTAATAAGTATATTTTTTTTTTGCCAATGAACGTTTCACCGACCTGAAACCGACTAACCGTCGCTGGACAAACTGAAGGTATAAGTAGTGCTAAAAACTATTTATATACTTGTTTGCGAACTTTTAGCTATTGAACTCAATTGCATTATGAATATTTCTTCCGCATAAATACATTTTCTATTTAACATAAAAAGGGAATTGCATTATATTTGAAAACCCCTAAGTTCAGAATTACGAGTAAGCTTACAAGACGTTTGAGGTCATTTCGTCAAGAGAAGAAATTAAAAATTTTTATTTTATTTTTTTTTTTTAACAATCATATCTCAAACTAAACTTAAATCATAATTAGACTTTTGTTTCGAAATAATTTTTCACTTCATTCTTAATTATGATTCAGTAATTAAAGGTTGGTTTTATAGCTTTCTCCTAACAAAAAAGCTCCCTTACCGAAAAAGCATAATGGTGCTTTGTAAAATAGCGCATTCTTTTAGAATAAATATTAAAAAAGTAGCTAAATACTTTATATTTTTATTTTTTATGAAAGCATTTGGTAGATATCACATACTGTTTTCTAATTGATTGATCCAATATTTTGACCACCATTTAAATTTTTTTGTTTCTTTGTACACATTAAAGTTGATGTTTAATTGTGATTTGAAACGACTTTTGCAGATAAATGGATTTAGTCAGTTATTCAGCGACATATTTGAATAGTTCCGCCGGTGGGACGTAATCTCCAGCCGCTTTTTGCTCTTTAAGCGCGTAATCGCTATTCGAACCTCAACATATTCGGGTAGTGTAACGACTTTTCTACCGTCACTGATTGGGTTTCATTGTCACTAGTGTTCCCTCCATAAATTCTGTATACTCTGGGCATCCGTCACTAGATCACTCATAAGGGTCCTACAAGTGTTTAATCCAGTCTTGAAACTTTCCGTAAATCACCGTATCTTTTAGCAATAAACCTGTCGGCCAGCTTCTCAAGCTCTTCATACTCACGCATTCCGGCATCAAAATTTGTTCCTGCAAATGCGTCTCGGTCCCCTCTTCAGCTGTCGGTATCTATCCCACTTTGCAGATGTTGTGGTCTATTACTGCACGGAGTAGTCCACATCAGCTATTTTTGTTAACCGATCCTTTCGTTTTCAGCTGTACGTAGCGAGCTTGAAATTCTGTTCTACGGTTTTTTTTATACCGACTTGTTGGCCAGTGGTCCTTGTCCCGTCCATCACACGTCTTGGATGGCAGTGATGTCAGCCTTTAGTTTAGCGAGGACATCAAGCAGTTGGGTAGCGACTTATATTACTAAATTTTTTTTTTTTGCTATGTATGGGAGTTTTTTTAACCAATTAAAAGTAATTTCCATTCATAATTATATAATTTTGCAATCATTCATTTTTATAGCATAGATTTCTATATAATTTTTGCATATGATTTGGAAAATACTAGTAAAGATGTATTATTTTAACTTCGAAGGTATTTAACACGTGTTTGAAATGAATGAGATATAATAAATTCCATGTAAAATACCTATTATTTCTCTTACTTTCTCACACCTTTTTTGCTACCTTTTTCCCATGTACCTTTTTAAATGGAGCATATTTTCTTCCCCTACTCCTACTACTTTCCAAAATGCGGCCACTTAACCAACCTTTAATTATTGAATCATGATTTTCAACAGGCCAAAACTTAAAAAAGTATACTTCATATTTGAACTTATTATGTTCTTACTTACTATTAGATCAAAATTGCTCCACGCACTCGAAATGCCCGTGCTTTACAAGAAGAATTAATGAGCCACACACGCTTATCTGAAAATTACATATTGCGTACTTTGCTTTTTTGACAATTATTACGTAGCAATTTGCAGCTTTATAATTTATTACTTCAGATGTTTTCATCTTCTAACATTCTATACTACGCAACTGTTTTGCCTTGGTTGACTCTGCCCACCAAGTAATATTTTCCACAAAGAATTCATTTTCATGCTGCCCAAGAAGAATATTGAGTCCCTGGGCTACATTATGTGAATTTATGAATAACAGACAGTTCGATTTCGTTTCGGAAATTTCGAAATATCAAAAATGTCGATAAACTGGTGGGTGTCGTTATCCCAAGAGCCAAACATTGCACCATAAACAGTTTGAAACCACTTGAAAAAGGATTGATAAACAAAGAAGTTCCTAATGGAATGAATTTCCATGTGCGAATCATAGGTGAATCGTAAAAAGATCTACCCATTTCTGATGTGGTTGGTGACTGGTGATAAAAAGTGGATCACTTACAGCAACGTCAAATAGAAACGTTGGTTGAAAAGCAGTAAGCCGACACAAACGGTCTCTAAGCCAGGATTAACGACCAAGAAGATTGTGCTGTGTGTTTGACTGGCTCGGCAAGGAATCATCCATTAAGAGTTATTCTCGTGCAACCACCTTATGGTAAGAAGCCCACTCCAAGGTTTTACCATCTATTCCTGTATACGGCGAATTGTTTTGCTGGTGGAAAATTGGCCTCAAGAGAAGCATATGAAAATCGTTTAGGACAAGAGTTTCTATGAAAGAGGCATAATGACATTACATTCTAAATGGCAAAAAGCTATAGAACAAATGCGTGCATATTTGACATAAAAAGTATTATTTTCATTAAAACTCTCTCCTGGCATCTATATATATTATGATTGGCGCTTTGTAACCGCTGAAGCGATTTTCGACCGAGTTCCTCCTCCAAAATGTGGTTTTGTGTCCATGAGGAGGTTTATTTAATATCAGAAATACCCTCAGAGAGGTTGACATTCCCTGCCGAGGGGCGACCACATCCTGGCATCTATATGCAAATTAAAAGAGATTTGGCCCAATTCTTACGAATTGATGAATTATTTAAATTTAAATAAATTTTATTTTTCTGGTTTCGAAGTCCGTAAGCTGCATAAATACAAATTGCAATACTAACATTTTTCTTATTTTGAAGTTTTTATTTAACAAAAAACGCAAAAAAATTATGAAAAAGAGAGTTGTATAAATATATGATTTTGTTTTTGAAAAACTTCAACATTTCGGCTAATGATGGAACACCACTTTATTCATATGGCTGGTCTTAAAGTATCTCATTCGGTTTTCTCTGTGCACCTACTTTTTCATTGTTTGGCCGTTTATGACTGTAATGTCGACAAGAATTTCCTGTTTTAAGTCACAAATCGTCTCTGAATGGTAAAGTTGGCACTTATCTTTAACGGTTTTCAACAATCTGACACATTTGACATCAACTTTCTTGCACTTCAGGTTAAAGATTTACCATTTTACAAGCAAGTTTTCAATATACCCAATTTCCTCAAGTGTAGACTTAATCAATTTGTAATCCGTAAACCTCTTACTCAATATATAGCACATTGGGTACTTAGTTGAAGACGGCTAAGCTTTATTAAAAATAAGAAAATAAGCATTATTCTTACTGGCGTAGACATCGCACAACAGTGCACCATTAATTCCTTCTTTTTTGGAAATACCAAGTACAACCCGGTCCCTCTCTACCTGGTCTTTCCAACGGAGTGGAGGTCTTCCTCTTCCTTTACTCCCATCCTTTCTCTCGAAAACTTCTAACGCCGACTCATCGTATGGTGTCATCGTGCACGATGACGGACATGTAGAGTTTAGTTTTCGTTCATCGAGAAAGGGCTTTACTTTTCGATTGCCTACTCAGTCTAAAGTAGCACCTGTTGGCAAAAGTGGTTCTGTGCTAGATTTCCAGGTTGACAGTGTTGTTTGTGTTAATACTGGTACTAAAATAGGCAAAGTTATCTACGACATCGAAGTTATGACTATCAACAATGACGTGGGAGCCAATACGTGAATGCGATGGCTGTTTGTTTGATGACGTTCGATAGGACCTTATATGCGATATCACCGAAGCAGAGCACACTTAGATTTCATTGCAGTTGTTCTTTGTTGTTATTGTTGTTACTGCTGTTGTAGCGGTTGCTCTCCCCTGCTTAGGGACAGGCTTGTTAGCCTAAATCACCGAGGTCATATAACGGAAGGTCGAGGAAACGTGCTGTTTCGATGGGATCGGACCAGAGGAGAAGGGGGTTAGATTCGGGGACTCAGTACATGCAGGACATACGTTCTGTATGTTGCGGTCGAGTCTGAATAGGCAGGAATTTAACCTGCTACAACATCCAGACCTCAGTTGCGCCAGTATTGAGTAGGTCTCTCGAGGCAGCACGAGTTCTTTGTCTGCTATGGGTGGTGATTTAACTCCGAGAACACCAGTCCCAAGGAGGGTGTTTTTGAAGCTGACTGGTAAATGGCGTTTAGTCCTTGTCGACAGGCCGTCCTGTTCGGCGGTTGGTGGACGTGTTGCTGAATGGTGTCCTTCTTATCTAATACTCCCTTTCTTATGTGTCAAGTGGAGGTTCAGCTTCAATAAGATGCCTATTCGGTTGCTCCCTACAGTAACATTCCAATAGGAATTGCTTGCACTTCAACGTATTATGCTCCTTAACTCGCTGTGCAAGTGATGCTCCGACGACATCAGGAGGTTGCCAGTCATTGTCCTGAGAGCGGTGTTCTGGCAACCATGTAACTTCTTCATCTGCGTCTCGTTTGTCCCCGGCGCATTTTTAAGTTATTTATTGTCCCGTAGCAGAATGCACAAGTATTTTCAATGTTTTCAAAGTGGTCGTGAGTACATAACTGACGATGAACATGTGGGCCCACCAAAATATGTGATCACCGAAAATTTCATCGAAACTGTGCGGGAATTCCTAAAAAATCAGCCGAAGTTTTGAAACGTTTGGTGCGCCATATTCGACGTGCTCGGCTCGAATATCGCGAAGAGGGAAGTTGGCGTTTGTTGCACGATAATGCGCGGTCTCATCGGTCGACGCTTGTGGCCGATTATTTGACCAAAAATCACATTTTAAGAATCAACCCTTCCCCGTATTACCCTGATATGGCACCGTGCGACTTCTAACTTTTCGAAAAAATGCATTTGCCGATTAAATGAAAGCTTTATGCAGACGTGGAGGCCATTTAAAAAGGCCCATACCGGGCGACGAGCTAAAACACTCGTTCGACATGCTTTTGGACCGTGCGAAAAGCTGTATTAAAGCAGAAGAAGACTATTTTGAATAAAATTAATTGATTTTGCCGAGAAAACTATTTGTTCTGTCTTTTTTTTTAAAGTCCTGTTTACTTTGGCACGCACCTTATATAACCGAAGTTGCCAGCGATTTTTGCCAATTTAAAAGATTAGGCAAAAGAAGTCTTAATCCAGAAGACAGTAAAGAATCAGTGTAAAAAATATGTTTATAGTTATTTTAGGCCTTCAGGAAATGACAAAGTTTTAATGTTTTTATAATTTATTTTTATTAAAAAACCTACATATTTATATACACATATGCAGCAACAACAATTTATATAAAAAAATAAAATTATTTACGTTAAACTTAAACACTTGTAAGTGTTAAATTACATTCAATGAGTACACACGCAAAAGAACTTAATACCAATTACATATGTATGTATGTATTAACATTAACACACTTAATTACGAAATCAAACTACACGAGCCTAATACGTATAATTACAAAACAAAATCAGCGAGTTTTATAACCTTCGTTGATTATCACATGAGTAACAATGTATATTCATATATATATATGTATGCACATAAATAATATATCATCCTTGAAATACATATTCCCTATAGAAATGATTTTTGTTTTAGTTACTTATTGTTAAAGCACTTGAAAAGCTCGCAGAAATGTCCATGATAACAAAGCGCTAACGCCGCCATAGACCAGCAGCTGTACGGTGCGGTGTAATATGAGAAGTCTGAAAATACACAATGACAACAATTTAATCATGCTTTCCACAATTTCTAATTAAGATTTTCCTATAATAACAACATACATATGTATATATGTATGTGTATATATACCTGCTCCAAAGTTGCTTGGCCTTCGGTATGGTTTCGGGTTGCTCTCGCCCCATGTAGCAGCGCAAACCCAATAAAGAGTTGTAAAAGTACTCAGGCCAATTTATTGCGAGCATATTGAAATTGAATAAACTTTGATCGGCTCCAGAGAGCGAATGCCATAATTTTAATGTGTTTTCCATTGTGAAAGTGAATTTATGTTCAACGAAATAATCCAACACAGCGGTTTGTTTGTGTATTTTTCGATATGTTTTAACCATTCTGTAATTTGAAAAAAGATTTGTTATAAAAGAAATAACAGATATACAGGGTGCGCCAGCTATATATTGTCAATGGAAATGTTGAATAACTTGAACCGTTTATAAGGAATTTTGATAACATTTTTTTATTATCAAATTTATAGGCTTACAATTTTCCAGCTCTGTTCGAAAAACAACGTCGATCGAATGACCCCCTTCACTGCGCAAACAAAACTTCCCTCTTTTTTCGACAATTTCCATGACATTTGCCAGCAGCTCGGTCGATATCGCAGCGATTTCAGCTCGAATGTTGTTCTTCAGCTCGCCCAAAGTCTTCGGTTTGTTGGCGTACACTTTGCTTTTCAAAAAGCCGCACAAGAAAGTCTGGTGCAGTCAAATCGGGCGATCTTGGTGGCCAGTCGATATCCCCTTCTTTTAATACCACACATCCGGGAACATTTGCCGCAAGAATTTCAGCGTTGAGTCCGCTGGGTGAGTCTCTAAATTCGAAGACAAGCGACGAATAGTGTTTTCAGGCGCAGCACGGCCGCGATACTTCTTCCGACAAGCGCGCTGTACATTGGAACTATTTCCACACGTTCTTTGGGCGTAAAGCGACACATGGCTGAAATTGTATTGGAATAACCTTTCAATCTGTCAAAGTTATTCAATATTTCCATTGACCACATATAGATAGCGCACCCAGTGTGTATTTATAATATATATTTTTTACAGTTTTAGTAAACTCACCTTCTTTTCTTGCCCATTAGAAGCAGCAGGAAGTCAAATATATAGCCGGGTATGATGTGGTAAAATAATATTAAAATGTTGTATAACAATTTTGAATTGACGATTATGGCAAAAGGATACCAAATCATTTTCGTGAGTGGCATTTTGGGCGCGTGTTCCTCCAGTGTCCGTCGATAAGTGTCCCATTTCAACATATTACGTTCGTCAGGCACAAAATTATATATCGGTGGCTTCTCCAATGGAGCCCTGCAAAATGAATATTATTAAAAAAAAAAAAACATATTAAAATCATCCAATGCTCATATGAATATCAAAAAGTAAAAAGAGTTTAATTTGGCTCGAGCTTACAAAGCCATTTTTCACGTTGAATATTGCCCTACCTTAGTAGGAAGAAATATAGCCATCTTCCCTTAGGAGTATAGCGAATTCAACCTGCTCAATTAGTTAGTTTAACAGTTTGCTTGAACCGGAATTCTGATCAAACGCACTTAGACCTATTTGTCTGACGTGCACCTATGTTAGTCCTGCTAAGGAGACAGGAGATTCCTTCAGGTTAAACTCTAACTTATCCAGACTCGACCCCAGCATATCCAACATATGCTCTTCGTGTGGAGAGTCTCCGCACGAAACTAACCATCTCTTCACATGCCCCCTTAAACCGACTCATCTAACCCCCCTCTCCCTCTGGTCCAATCCCGTCGAAACGGCTCGTTTCCTGGACCTTCCACTAGATGACATCGGCGACCTAGATTGAACGAACCTGTACCTAAGCGAGGTTATTAAACCACTACAAAAACAACCACAACAACAACGATATTCACAACTTTGGCACATTGACGTTTAGGATGGTAAGCTATGGTATCTTTCTGGTTTCTGTCGACATTTGTACTCTTTTCTGGGAATAGGAAAACAATATGTGCCTTTAACCAAGCATCGTTGTTTTTCGTTTTATCTATCTTTCGGACAAGCTTTTGCAGAAAATTTTCAGTTTTTCAACACTTGTATTCAATTTATATAAGAGGCAGTGACTACGTCATTAAGTCATGTGATTCAGTTGGAGGAAAGTACTTCAGTTTTGACAGTCCTCGATATTCTTTCCCACTATGATAAGAATCCAGTATCGACGCCTCCTTTCCTCAAATCTATACGAGTAGCTTTTTCTTAGAATATTTTGTAAGGAATCCTTTTCAGTGCTCATCCTAATTACCACTCCCCTAGCGGTGACGAGCCTTATAGTAAACATCTTAATAACCATACTCACACTTGTCCACCAGTTTTCGCTGTGTTCCATGCCGAAACCAACATTAGATTGGCGCACATATCTACGGGTACGAAATTCGCATTCGTATCCAAGTGCACATAGAGTACGCGGAGTATGCCATGCGCAACACCGTATAAAATGCTCATCGGACCATATAGATTGTCCACCCAACCAACTAATGGCTCTTTAGCGGTGGGTATAACTGTAAAGGAGAAAGAAATACAAATAAAATTTTATTTGAAAATGCCAAGTGCTGCATCTAATGAGACAAACCTATGCCAGGTCGAAAGACACAAATCGGTAAGTCTTTGCCTTGTGAAAGTACCGCCTCTTCAGCCAGTGCTTTTGTAAAAGTATATGTATTGGGCGATTTGCCACACCATTCATTCGTCATGCGATTCGTTTTCTCCGGGCCCAGTAATTCGGCTATTTTGCACATATTTTCAGCTGTAATATTGAGCTCGTTTGTATAGTAGACCTCGTCCATGTGAAAGACCGTACAATTGGCAAAGGCGGAAGAGACATGCACGAAAGCTTGTAATTTGTACATTTTTTTCGCCAATTTCATTAGATCCATGGTGGCACGTACATTTATGGCCAATGCATTATAGAGTGGCTCATTAAAACGGACCGTGGCGGCGCTGTGCATTACGATTTGCACTTCATCTATAAGGGTTTGACGGTCTTCCGGGGAGATACCCATATTGGCAAGTTGACAGTCACCGAGTATGGGTATGACACGTTGTCTGGCTGTTGGTTTCATTTGATTTAAATCGGCGAACAACTGAAACAAAAATGTCATAAACGTAAATATATTTGTTAGTTGTAAAAATCTTGTGCAGAAGAAATATTTACCGGGTTCTTGAACATGGCTTCAATACGATCTTCTACGGTCAGTTCCTTCTTTGGACGTATTAGTATATAAATACGTTTTACATCTGTGGCACGCAGAATTTTTTCAATAAATACTATGTGGAGAAAGAAAAAAGAAAGTTAAATAAATAAATGAATTAAATATATGTTTATATAAACAATAGAGAAATGTTCTCTTCATGCCTTTCAATGACATATCAAAGTTATTGCTGCAGCTTAAACTCAAATCTGCCAGTTTACATTGGCTTTTATACAAGAAGTCTGGACTTAGCCTTAGCAACAAAGTGCTCTTATATAATGCAACAATAAAACCGATATGGATGCGAGGAATCCAGTTATGGGGCACAGCTTTTGCGACAAATATAGACATAATTCAAAGGTTCCAATCGAAAACATTAAAAGTAATAACGGGCGCACCATGGTACATGCGTAGTTAAAATATCTATAGAGATCTATATATACCTACCATCGAAGAAGAGATTGAAACTGCAGCACAAAAGTACTTAATAAAACTGCTTAACCATCCGAAACCTTTGGCCCATGCAACAAGTCAAACCCCCCTGTGAAGAAGAGATAAATCAGCCTTACAAAGAGCAAGATCAAGCCAGCAGCCCATTCTTACTAACGGGTTTTTTGTTTTAATTTAGTTTAAGATTTTATTACTTATTGCTAGGCTTTCGTTGTCGAAGCAGATTCAATAAATAAATATTAACGTCAAAAAAAATATGCAAAATTCGATTTCAGTGTCGAGAGGGGTATTCGCTTGGTCTAGGAAATGCTTGACAGAGTGCACGGATTGCACTGTTTTCCTATCCATGCAAGAGCACAATAACAAAACACATGAAAAGAGTATACACTCATACCTCGCTTTACGGTCTAGATAGTTTTCACAAAAATTGACCGATTTTCCGCCGAACCTTTTCTCCAATTTGTGGTTTTGTGTCTTGAAGTTTTTCCAACAAATGGAGGGACCTACAGTTTATACTAAGCCGACTTCGAAAGGCTGATGTTTTTTTATGAGGAGCTTTATTTCATGCCATAAATACACTCGGAGGAGTTGACATTTGCTGTCGAGGGACGCTCGCAATTAGAAAATGTAGCTTAATTTTTTTTTTAAATTAATTTTCTATAACTTTTGGATGTTGGCCGCTTGGAGATTTGAACCCGAGCCTTCCAAATGGCAGTACGCAATGCTAACCATTCCGTCACCGCGGCCGCCATGTTTATTCCTTTTTCGAAAATTTTACCAAACATGGCTCATTGCTGTTGATTTTATTTCCTTCCATAATTTACTGATGTTGTCCGCAGCATCCAAATGTTTTAATTGAAGACTTATCATCTTGAAAAGTTCTCAATCATGACATCTTCAGATAGCTCAGATAAATTTGTTAGATGCCCAGGTGGTTAAGTTATTTTTACTTCTGTAACAAAGGGATTTTTGAACCAATATTCAAAAATTGCCTTGACCATACAAGCTTGATCTCTATATAACGGGTAATTGATTTCTATTTAGTCCTATAAAAGGCCTTGGCTTCTCGTATACATATAAATATCAAGAGTGGTTATAGCTTAAAATCACCCGCGTCATTTGCACCGTGCAGCAGGGTTAACCGCTTCTTACACACTTTATAACCAGACGTAGAATTTTCGGATATTGAAATGTACCTGCGATCAGTCATTCCCCTCTAATAAAGCTCTGTTTGATCTACTTAAAAACTTTGCTCAGGTTTATGACTATCTTTTCCAGTCATGCCTTTTAAGATGTTGGGATATTCCTTAGATTTTGCCTCATCGGCTCCAGCTGCTTCACTCTTCATTTTCAATTCATGCAAGTTAAATATGTTTTTAAATTTTTCGAACCATCCTCGACTTGCTTGGTATTTGAAATCTGAAGTAGGTGAAGTCGGTATCTCTTTACATTGAAAATACTCAAAGCTTTATACTAAATAGTCATTTGACTTATTGGCATTCTCCGTTTGTTATTATCCTCAATCCATATAATCAAGAGTTTTTCCATTTTTCCCACAATCCAGTTTCTTTGGCGTGCTGATCTTGAGATATTTTAAAGTGCTGCAGATTGAAAAATCGAATTTTATTTCTTCTTTTTTGTCGCGGTTAGTTTGAATGCTTCTACCAGGCGTAGTACTTCAAGTTTTCGTCGCTAGAGTGACTGAGTTTCGGCTTTATTTTTGTCAGTCTCTAGGGTGGATAAACGTTTCGGTCGCTTTTTTTTTTGCCGTTTTGGGGAAACATTCTAGGTCGTAAAGCAAAAACGCGTCGTTGAGGAGGGCCGTTATAGCGAGAGGTTATATAAAGAGTGGCCGTATAGGATTAGAAAAAAAATCCTAGACCCAAACCTTTATTCATATCTGAGCAAATCGGTTGTTTAGAGACTAAATGATGAAGTCTTCCCATTTCAAGCTACTGAGTAGTAACATTACGTTCTACCATACCGAGAAACAGAGTTCGAGTCCTGCTCTGGCCAAAATACGGTCACCCACGACAGAGAATGTCAAACGCTCCAAGTGTATTCCTGACGTCAAAGCTCCTCTTAGAATAAACTGTAGGCCCACCCCTTTTTTGGAAAAACATCAAGACGTACAACGAAAATCCGAGGAGAAGATAGGCCGAAAATAGCTTCAGCGATTACCAAGCGCCAATTATGTATTATAAATTATATATAATATAGAATATTTCAAGGCATTCGACTTACAGAAGGTTTCAAGACCGAAGTAAACTCACGTGGGACCCGGAGAGATGATTCGGTGGCTGATGCACACAGCATATTGAATTTATGGAAGGAACACATCTCCAGCCTGCTGAATGGTAGTGAAACAGAAACAGCAGGAGATGGCGCATCCCATTTCTCAATGCGAGCCACAGAGCTGAATATTGAAGGTACAAACTTTTATAAGAATATTCTGCTGGTGATTTTGACATCCTTTGTCTCAACAGCGCGGTTGTTGAGTTCTGAAGCTTTCAGAGTGAATAATGAAGCTAAACGTATGGGTCTGGTGGTGAACGAGAGCAAGAGGAAATATTTCCTGTCATCAAACAAACAGTTTTCTTATTCGCAACTCGGCTCCCACGTAACTGTTGACACTCATAACTTTGAAGTCGTATATAATTTCGTTGACTTTAAAACTAGTATTACACCAACAACAATATCAGTCTTAAAACCCAACGCAGAATCACTCTTGTCAACAGGTACTCCTTTGGTCTGAGCAGGCAATTGAATAGTAAAGTCCCCCTGTTGGACGAAAAAAAGACCAAACTGTCTTGCCATATTTTCCGGATATATGGACGATGACAAAATCTGATTAGTCCGCATTAGAAGTTTTCGAGAGAAAAATTTATGATCTTACACACAATAGAATCCGCGAATACCGCAATCGATCGAACCATGAACTATGCGAGATATACGGCGTTGTTGACATAGTTCAGCGTATCAAGAGCCGATGGCTACATTGGCTAGATCATGTGGTCCAGATGGATAAGCATACTCCAGCTTTAAACATTTTTGGGTAAACAGGACACAACCCGCTTTTGGACCAAAAAATATTTCTCTGAGATTACTGGTTTGAGGGTAGAATTCTTGTTAGTCTTGTAAGAGCACGACTCCATCGGGCACCCTCCACATGAATCGAATATTTAAGCTAATAAACAATAGAACTTAACCAAACTTTTATGTTACTTTAAAAGTGGCTGACATATATTGTATATGTATCATTGGCGCTTTGTAAGCGCTGAAGTGACTATCCGCCGAACTCCTCCTCCAATTTGTGGATTTCCGTCTTGATGTTTTTCCTACAAATGGTGGGACTTACAGTTTTTACTAACCCGCCTCCGAACGCATGATGGTTTCTTTATGAGGAGCCCTTATTTCATGTAAAAAATACACTCGAAGAGGTTGACGTTCCCTGCCGAGGGGCGACTGCAATTAGAAAATTTAGCTTAATTTTTAATTTAAATTTTGGATGTTGGTCGCAAGGCGATTTGAACCCGAGGCTTCCGAATGGTAGTACGCAATGCTAACCACTCGGCTACCGTTGACATAGTTGCCGAATTGTTGCCTGATATTAGAAAGCTTTTATTTTGACAAATACGAGGGTTTAATATACTTTTCAGCCGAGTTGGTATTTCATACATTTTTTTTGGTTCGGAAAATATTTTGAAGATATGCACTTTTTAAGTAATCTAGAATGGGTTTTCCCATAAACACAAAAATATAAAGGTTGCTCCATCCTATCGGTGTGTAAACGCTGAATAACTATCGCATTCACCAACCGAGCGATTGCATCAGATATGTTTTGGAAACGTCAACTTAGTACAACTTTGGCCATGGATCGCTTCATTTCGAAACTAGGCGCTGAAATAACGACAACTTACATCGATAACAGTCGTTCCATTGTTTTGACTCAACGTGCATTCGGAAAAAATATTGACTGGCCACCCAGATTACCTGATTTAACTCCTCCCCACTCCCCACCGGACTTCTTTCTGTGGGGTTATCTGAAAAACAAGGCTTACGCCAACCAGCCTAAAACAATTGATGAGCTCAAGGCAAAGATTCGTGCTGAATTCGACGCTATTACAGCCGAGATGCGCGGAAAGATAATGGCAAATGCAGAAAAGAGGAGTCACTTTGTAATTGCTAATAAAGGTAGCCACTTGATTGATATTGTTTTCAAAAACTAGTCTAAAAAAATTTTAAGGAACCAAACTGAATAAAAATAAAAAAATAAAAATACATATTTACTACATACCGACATATAGATGGAGCACCCTGTACATACTTTGTATAGAATAAAGTATTAAAGTTCAATAAATATATCATCTTTATGGTGATCAAGTGGATTGTGCGTTAGTGGCAAATGTCAATAAATTAGTCGAGATGCATATTTATACAAAACTCAAAGTGCATGTGTACATATTTACCTAAGCCTAAAGTGAATACGCAGCTTAACTTCGAAGTATTTTATAAAGAAAGCATTATACTAATAAATATAAGGGCATATTTCAATTATAAGATTTTATCAAATTCTTTGCGCAATGGTATTTTACTGTTAACCCAAATTGTATTCAAGCTTTCCTCATGCGGTGTCGCATCTCTTGGTTGCATTTTACCCGAACTCAGAAATTGTTAACTTTTTCGTTATAATTTCAAAAGGTCGGAGTCCAATTTCTTTTAAATTTTTTTTATATAAACCAAATCAAGACTTTTTACAATTTTTGTGCTCTCCTCGAGCGTGTTGTTAAATTACAAATGGAAAGCCCAAAAATCGTATTTATGATTCAAATTGTGGGAAATTTAAATTCTCAGTTGCAAAATATTTTACCGCGAGGTAATGTAATATTCGATCCGTTATCCAAAATCAGTACAACCGTGCGATGTGATAGTTTTTTTTTGTTCTACTTCACTTAAAAACTCAAAGTAAAATTTAAATATTTCGAGTACAATCTTGCATATATAAATTTATATCTTCATATCGGTCTAGTGAAATCATTATTTCTGCATTAAATGACATAAAAGCTCCGCATAAAAAGCCGTGAACCGTTCGTAGGCGTTGCTGGAAAACAACAAGACGCAAAACCACGAATTGGAGTAGGAGCTCGGCGGAAAATCGCTTCAGCGGTTGCAAAGCGCGAATTATATTTTGGTGAAGTAAAAAGTTCGTTCGATTTTTTATCTAAGAGATGTCTTTGACAGTTTTTCGATTGATTGACTCAGTACGTTGTGAGAGTTCATCAAAGATGGACACCAGCAATGAGAAAATTCGCTACATTTTACAAATTTTCTGCGATCAAGGCGAAAAAGCCGCCAAAGCGTCTGAAAAAATTAATTTACTTTATAGGCCCGATACTGTAAATGAACATGCAGTACACAAGTGGTTTGCTAGGCTGCGTTCCGGTAATTTCGATGTCAGAGATGCATCACGCGTCGGGAGGCCTGTCGTCGAAAATTGCGATAAAATCATGGAAATAGTGGAAAGAAACCGTCACGTGAGCACTTATTTAATTGCTGAAGAACTAAAGATATGCCAGAAAACCGTTTGGAATCATTTTCATAACCTTGGATTCGAAAAGAACCTCGAAGTTTGGGTGCCACACGAACTAACGCAAAAAAAAATGATAGACCGAATTTCCATCTGCGAATCGCTGCTGAATCGCAACAAAATCGATCTGTTTATGAACCGGGTTGTGACTGGCGATGAAAAATGGGTCACTTACGACAACATCGAGCGCAAACGCACGTGGTCAAAGCTCGTCAAAGTATCCCAGACGGTGGCCAAGACCGGATTGATGGCCAGGAAGGGTTTTGCTGTGTGTTTGATGGCCACACACATCTTTGGTGACGCGCCAGAAGCTCCAGGAGCTCAGATGGAAGGTCTTAATGCACCTACCTTATAGTCCTGACTTGGCACCAAGTGATTACCATCTTTTCCTGTCCATGGCGAACGCGCTTAATGGTGAGAAATTGACCTCAAGAGAGGCCTGTGAATATTGGCTCTCCGAGTTAGGGACGCAGCCTTCTACGAGATGGGCGTAATGAAGTTGGCTTCAAGGCAACAAGTTTGCTAACAAAACGACGCATATTTGACTTAAATCGGACAAATGTAAACAAAGTTATCATATTTTGGAAAATCAATAAAAACTCGAACGACCGAGCTTGACCTAAATATTATATATTTCAAATATATACTGTTTTTCTTGATAACTAAAAGTAATGTCAGTACGCCTCTTTCGTAGAATCCCTTGCTCCCATTAGCAAACAATTGGGACAATAAATTTTCATAAGGTTCGTTTGTGCCCAATTCTTCGCCACCCAAATCATTCGCCATAGACAGGAACTTATGGTAATCACTTGATGGGAGATCCGGATTATAACAAAACTTCCCACCCAACGTCTCAGAGCTCCTAGCGAATCACTATCCATGTGAGTGATCTGATATTGTACCGATGAAACACAATTCACCTGCTGTTGGCCAAAGCTTCTGTACAGAACTGTACAGATCCGAATTTAGAGGTTGGTCGTAAGGCAGCAGCTCATTGTAAATAATTCCCTGACAATCGCACGAAACACATAAACCACCTTCCTGGCCAACAATTCTGTTTGAAGACATTTGTGCTGGCTCACTGCCCTTCGACCAACAACAACAGCTCTCGTTTTACCTTGCTGTATGTGAACCACTTTTCGTGGTTACTAGTGGTCATCCGCTTCAGAAATGGGTCGATTATGTTACGATTCAGCAGCGATTCGCAGATGGAAAGTCGGTTCATGAGGATTCTTTCACTTATATATCGAATTCTTTATGTGTTCAGCCCTTTTCAAGTGGTCCCGAAGTGTTTTCTGTGCAATGTTCAACTCATGGACAATGCTGGCATGACAGTCTGAGGCGACAATTTCCATAATTTTATCGACAATTTCGACAAATGACCATATCGGGAAGCATCTTTCACGTCGAAATTACCGGCATGGAATCGACGAAACGAAAAATCGCGCATGATTAACTGTGGCAGTAATATCGGCACCTTTATCGAAGAAAATATTTGGTGTTTATCTTTAACATGGCCTCTAACACTACAGTTAAGTAATGTTCACTTGTACCGTCATTTTTTTAAGTGTTAAATATCATCGTTCTAATGCCAGTTAGCGCAATCCAGTCGCACTTATAGAATGCGAGAGGCAGATCGCTAAAGCCATGCAAAAATAGTGGTTTACTTTTTAATAGACCTAATATATGAACTTCGGCTCATATATGTGACCGCTCAGAGAATTTTATTTCAATATTACTTTATCACCAATTATAAAATAAGCACGAAACATCAGTGGCTTTAAACAAAAATAATCACATTCCAATGAGTTCTTAAAAATATGTGAGGGCCACCATCACTATTTTTTTACAAACCATGTCTTTAAATAGTTTCACTTTTTTTGTTTTTATATTCTAAATACATTTCATATATAACCAGCACTATTATATATATATACGATATATATTGTATATATTTTTTTTATTTATTTATGTTTTTTTTTGTCAAATACTTTTGTAAGTGATGTACCTTTTCCCAAAAATCCCGAACCGCCGGTGAGAAAAACACTTTTATCCCGATAAAACTCCTGTACTTCCGATGTCATATTGAAATCCTGATATTTCTCATTCACACTGATTTCTTGTATTTCCGCTTTCATTTTGTACACTCACTCGATCAAATGCATTCAGCGAATATCGTTATATCTACCGAGTACTGTAATCCGTTAAGGAGGAGAATTAAGTATAAACCGTTTCAAGCCGCAGTGAGATGTTAATAAATTTCCAGTCATAGTGAATCTTGGCTTTTATACTCAACACTAAAAATCGATATTAGATAAATACATATATGGATGTATGTATGTATGTATACACCTGCGTATATTTATTTGCATATTTACTTATATTTAGTAAACAATAATTGTGCGAAATGAAGTGGTTTTGCTAAGGAAAATAATGTTTCAAATACAAAAACAAATTAATTGGAATTGATAGTATTAAACGACCCACACACACACAGTTATGCAAGGTAATGCGGAAAAGAATAAATATGGGTGAAAATAAGTATGTAAATATGTATTGTACATACGTGTATGTGGAGCTATGTGCGTACATAGTTAAATTTAAATATATCCAAATACAAAGTACAGAGACAATCATCGTACAATGTGGTTCTGGTACAATACATCACAACACCGGTTTGTCGTTATTACGATTAACTATTATTACTGTTATTAAAAGTTATATGTTTTTTACTTTATTATACCATAGATATAATCATATAACACACACACACATATACACATATATACATACATATATATATATATATATATATATATATATATATATATATGTAATACTCGTATGTAGGAATAAGCATGGAAATGTTTAAATTTGCTCACTACTTGTAAAATGGCTTGACTGCTTTCATTAATGAGTACCTCAAGCATCTCAGCTTAGCTTCTATTGTACACATTCAAGACTTGGCAACACTTACAACCACACATGCATGCAACCGTTGTACTCGTACCTATATAATTGTATACAATTCGTATGACGACAGATCAACCAGTTCGACTGGGCGGCTCGTCAGCAGCTTCGCATACCTGAATCTCGATGACTAATCAATTTTCTGATGACGATGGGGTCAATGTCGTCACAGCTTTGCCACGCAATTGCTCAACTTGTATTTTTCTTTGTGCTAATGTAAACAAACTGTCGGACAATTACCGCTAGACTAAACGGCGAACGAGCAAGTAAAATATTCCACAAAATCTTCCATTAAAGAGTGCTTAAAAAAAAATTAATCTCAAACAATTTCCTACAGAGTTCTTTATATGATTGAAGGACTGACACTTCTCAATCATCTGGCTTTCGGAGTTGATTATCAGGGTTAGATACTCGTTGGCACTCCTACTGGAATATTAAGTAATCTTTTGCTTAATACTAGCAAATACATATAACTACATTGTGAGTGTATCAAGATTTTAAACAACATTTTAAGGCGCTAAAGCTCAGCAACGTCTTCATTGCTTACTTCTTCTTCTTATTTACTGACGTAGACAGCGCTTATCCAATTAAAGTAAAGTTAACAACAGAGCGCCATTTCTTTTCATTGTTTGGTGCCAATTATAAATAACGAGTGCCACTAGATTCTTCTGCCCCTGATCCTTTTAACGGAATGGAGGTCTTCCTCTTCCTCTGCTTTCGCTGCATCGAAAACTTTTAAAGTTTATCCATCTAAACAACACCATCTAGCCAGCGTAGTCGCTTTCCATCGGCTGCGGTAGCAGGACCGGAATGATGAGCGGCTTGTAAAATTTGGTCTACATTTCAATTGCCTACTCAGTCCAAAGCAGCACCTGTTGGCAATAGTGATTCTGCCTTGAGTTTCAAGGCTCTTAATTTTGTTGGAGTTAATACTGGTTCCAATACTGGACTCTAGCTGCATTGTTGTCCTTTAAGCGTGCACTCGCTATATGAACCATATCATAGTTGAGTAATTTGAGGTCTATTCCACCATCATCGATTGGTGTTTCGGACTGGAGAAGTGTTCCCACCATAAAATCAGTATACTCTGTACATCCCCGTCACTTGCTTGCCCCTCTCGGTCCTTTAAGATTCTGCTACGGTCTTGAAACCTTCTGGTAGTCGACAAATCTTTTCATAGAATTTTCGAGTATTTTCTTTGTAGTCCAGTTTCTCAAGCTCTTTATGCTCACGCATCTCAGCATCTTTCTTCTACTGTCTTTACATGCGTCCTGCTTTCCTCTTCGATTCTCATTATCTATCTCGACCGGTATGTGTAATCCACGATCTCAACGTTGCAGGGTACGCAGCCTGCTTTGTCCATCTCATCGTAGCAGCAGTATATTAGACCTTCTCGAAGACCGATAGTCCATCACCTTGTTCCCTTATATCGGATGCTCTCAGAAAGCAGGAGTGTAAGTCGAGTTGAAAATCGTTCGGCTGTACTTTGTGATTGCAGCTTTTTAACGTCGAACCTTCCTTGTGTTTGTTGACAGGCGTTTTTTGCTTCACAGGTGCGAGTCTGTACCCTTGCTGTTACAAGATAGCTATCCCAGTCGATGTTCAGTGCTCGGTGTATACGCACGTCAAGAACACTGGAAACATGTCGTCCATCTAACACAACGTGATCGATATGGCTTAGAGTTTTTCGATCAGGGGACAGCCACGTAGCTTGATGAATGTTCATGTGCCGGAATCTTGTGCTACAAACAATAATATTTCTCGTGATCTGAAGGCGTAGATGCTGATTTTTCCGACAGCTATGCTGAAGCTACCTTCTTTGCCCACTCTGGCATTAAAATCGCCAAGCGCGATTTACGCATCGTGGCGGGGGCAGCGCTCATGAGTACGCTCCCGGTGCTCATAAAAGGTATCCTTCTCTTCCGTCGGTGCGTGGATGCAAATCAAGGCTATGTTGAAAAATTTCGCTTTAATGCGGATTGTGGCTAGACATTCATCCCCCGGGGCGAATGGCATTACTCGATAACATGTTCCATTCATCAAAAGTCCAGCCTTTAGCTTAACGCAAACATCAGCCGGCTGCACAGCGGCACCTTCCCAATTAAGGAACTGGACATTCCAGGTGCATGCTCTCAAGTCAAGATCCTTTAAGCGCTTGCGGGGGTCGGCATCGGAAGGGGAGTCTCTCATCCGAGGCATGCCAAAATTTTTCATTGTGGCTGGTTTCTATATGGCGGGTGCCAAACCCAGTATACAAGCTCGCGGGGCGAGTGAGTTTAAAGTTCTTACACATTTATATAGTGAGCCGCACCCACTGACAGTTACATCTCTAGTGAGCAGACGCTGAAATAAGACTTCAGGGAAACCTTAAACCCCTTATGTTGGAGTGGCTCTACCAAAGCTTCTTTTCTTTCCACACGGGTTTATTACCACAACTTGCACAAAGGTTCCTCACGTGTCCGAGGTGTGCGACGTGGACACCAGACTAGCAGTTGAGTATAACCTCGTCACCCCATCGCTTTCACTGTAATCTCAAACACATTTTGACTTTGTAATTGGATTCGATCGATTTATATGATTTCCATACAAAGTAATCTTCTTCTTAGTAGGTTTTGAGAGAACCCACAGACAGCACGACTCTATGAAATACATTATGTACATACGTGTACATATATAACGCGCATAACTCTCTAACCCATTATCTGCGTAAAACGTTCACCCTGCGCTGCTACATTGTATAAATCGTTCCCATTCTTTTGGACAATCAAATTTATTGAACATTGAACTCGAATATTTTCTGTTATATAATTCTGTGAGCTAATGGACATGTATTGTATAATTGTATATATTTAATATATGTATGTCTGTATGAAATTTATAGATACTAATTGCTATTAAATAATAGTTCTAGAAATAACCGTCTGGGTAACTAATAAACCGCTATGCATACAAAAACACATCAATTATTTGTATGTAGATCGATGGTACTTGTCATAACAAAAGCAGCAAAGGCAAACAGTAGAATTCAACTATATGTACAAGCGTAATACATACATAAGAATAAATACTAAACAAAAATTGTCATAATATAAAGGGTTATTAATTTCGTGGTTTCAACAGTAAATATTTGGTTTTACATAGTTAAAAATCAGGCCTTGTTAAAACCTTCTGCGAAATTAGAGATTCAAATGTGTCGCATTTCAGGCTTAAAGCGGAGATTCTGGTGCACCTAATCGTTTTTCTAAACAAATTATTTAACAAAATTTAAGAGACTTGATCAGTTACAGGTATTGTTGGGCCTGTGCGCCTCAAATATTGCTACTGGAGGCGAAAATGTAGCCAAAAGCTCGAATGTGTCTTTCTCCAGAGCAGAGACTGTCTTACGGCAAATTGTGGCGTAGTTCGCACTTGAATTACACTAACATCCGTATAAAATCCACCTCACCTAAGAACTGAAACCTGCCGACCATTCACAACGCCGCACATTCGTCGATGGGGTGATTGAACAACAAACAGTGGACGGCGATTTTTTGAATAAAATTTTCTTTAGCAAATAGATGTTGGTGAGGTGACGGGGATACTTAAATTGTCATGTTTGAGGCTCCGTGAATCCTCAAAAAATTAAAGCCATTAAACAAACAAAAAGCATTCCTTCTTTTAAAACTACAACAGCGAGGCTGTCACTGTTAATTCGGAGCATTAGGATCGTATGCTAACCGTACTAAGTAGTTTTAAAAAAATTGTATCACATGTCATACGACACGAGCGAATATGGTTTTGTTGCGAGTGCAATTCCTCAGCCGCGTAATCTCTCATCTCGGCGTTGTCAATTGGTCACCGAGATTGTGCATTCCGCACCATTCAACTATTTTTGTGGAGCCACGAGAAAGGCCGTGTTTATGCTGTCAATCCTTTAACTCCTGAGCACTTGAAAACCAACATTCGTAAACTTTTGGCTGAGGAACCGCCTAATATGATTAAAAATTATTAAAAATTACCTCAAACGGATCAAAGTTGACAAAACTTCACGAGGCGGTCATTTGAATGATGTATTTCACATATAAAATCCCAAGGTGCAAATTTTATTTAGGAATTTTAGGAAAAAATAATATTTCAAATACATTAAAAGAAAGATTTTTATATCCGCTTATTCTCGAAATCGCAAAATGGATAGCCCCATATAATTTGCTTATAGTATGTTATGCGTAAGGCGAGATTAGAAACGGAATGAGAAAAAATATTAATGACTTTGTTGTCATATTTGTTACAAGT